GCAAGCATACTCCTTTAGTGCATTTGTTAAATTTATGGATAACAGATTGATGTGTCATCTAGCTTTTCTCGGGAAACACAACATAGGACACAATTCTGAATGGTTTTACACATGACACTATATGTAAAGGAGCTACTGTGATCAAATAATGTTGGGTGCAATGGTTATACACACCGAGAAAGTTTCCTTAACCATGGACTGTGTCCAGAGCCCTTAACATACTGAGATCATTATAAGTCATCAGAAGGCATATGCACCACACAGTGCTTGTCAAACCTATTTGGCTTCCAGACCTTATACTCCAGAGTAAACCCTGAGACACAGTCCCAAAACACAGGCTTTGAGAACTACTTAAGCATTCTGGCACAGCATCATTGCTTGCATACCTAACACCTAGAAGTGCATTGTTCTAAAGACATTATGAACTTCCATTCTGTTCCAATATTCTTTAAAATTATATTTATCACTGTTTCTTAGTTATATGTAAAAACTAAATTGAGTAACTTGATCAATTTACCTAGGTTCTTAAAATTAAAATCTTTAAAAAATAAACACGCTTAACGCTTTCACATCTCCATTTCTGTCTTTTACTGTTTTCTACAAAAGAGTTATTTAATCACTTCCTGAAGTGTTTTTTACTTCCTGAAGTTTTTTATTTTCTTTTAGTTCAGTGTATGCAAGTATATGAGTGTATGAGAGTGTGTGTATGTGTATAAGTGTGGGGTGTATGTATATAAGTGGGTGTGGCCTGGGCTAGGTGTTTATATGTATGTGAGTGTATGTGAGTATGTGTGTGTGTACAGAGTGTATTTGTGTAAATGATTAGGTGTGCTTTGAGCATACATGTGTGAGATAGTAGATGTGTCATTTGTGAGAATATATGTGTAAGTGTGCATATCTATAAGTATAATTATGTGTATGCATATGTGAGTGTGTTATGGAGTGTAATATGTGAATATGTATCTGTGTAAGTAAATGTCTGTATATGCGAGTTAGTATGAGTGACATGTGCGAGCATCTGTGAATTTATGTGAGTGGGCGTGTTTTTACCTGTGTATATATGAATGTGTGTGTGTGAGAGAGTAAGTGCATATATATGTGACTGTATATGAGAATTGTGTTGGTGTGTGTGTGTGTGTTGGTGTGTGTGTGTGTGTGTGTGTGCAGGTGAGACTGTGTCATATATGTGTATGAAAGTGTGTTCAAGCCTGTGTGTTAGACTGAGTCTTCCTCGATGCACTGTAACGGGGAAATGCAGTGGCTCTCAACTTTTAAAGAGTGGTACACAAAGCAAAAACTAATCTGAGGATTCAATTAAAATGCCACTAAGGCTTTCTCCCATCCTGACACAAGAATACAGCCTCCCTAAACCCAAAATATTCTGGAATCAATATTAAAGTTATCCTAGTCCCCAGAAGCTGACCCTCTACCTGGGTTATCCCTAGTCCTCCTGCGGTGGCTCTTCAGCACTGAGACATTCCAGTCCTTAGTCTTCTGGAGTTGTTGAAAGCCTTTTTCTCTCTGACTTGCAATTGTTTGTCTTTTCGCATCAGGCAGTCTGGTTTTTTATTAAAAATCTATTGCAGATTTAACATTCTATTGCTCCCTGTTCTAAAACATCATGATAGTTTTGTCATATGGAAAAGGTTTCAGGCTGTCTCAGCTTAAGGGGATTTTACATACCAACCCTGCCAACACCAGGCAGCTGGAAGCTACCACAAAAGTCAATGAGCTGCATGTCAGATTAGAACCTTGCCACAAGCCTGATTCATTAAATGCTTACTTTCAGCCATGTTTTCATTTTTTAAAGCCATTAAGAAAATTATATCAAGTGACCCATCTATAATACCAGCACTTGGAAATCTGAAGCAAAAGGAGCAAAAATATTGCCACAAGTTTGAGACCAGTCTGGGCTACAGAGCAAGATCATTTTTCAAACACACACACACACACACACACACACACACACACACACACACACACGGTGGAGGGAGAGATGGAGAAAAGAAGACAAGGTACATATAGAAAGAATAACATTCAATTAATATGTTTATTTAATAATTCTTATAAACCTTTAAAAAGTTACAGCACTTGCCCTAATTTTATTACATTTTAACATTTATCATTGTAGATTTGGGGACCTTACATGTCCCTAAAGTCCTGTGTTAAAGGCTTGCTCACCTAGTTTCAGTGATATTGGGGTGTGGTAGGAGATGAGGCTTAGTGAAAATAAGTAAGGTCACAGGGTCATGGATTTCAAAAGGGACATTGGGACCCAGGTTCCTCCCCTTTGCTTTGCTCCTCAGTTAGAATGAAGTGAGAGCAGCTTTCTTCACACTAACTGTGCCCAATTAGTCACAAATTAACCAGGCCCAGCTACCATGTACTTCAACTTTGTCTTCTGTGAGTCTAAATGGACTTTCTTGAGGTAGGAGAGGAGGAAATGCCTTAAAATGTGCGTCGTGGAGTTTCCATGTGGTGCTGGCGTGGCAGGTTGGATCCATCTCAGAGCCACAGCTGGCAGCCTTGTGCCTGCAGACCTCCTCGTGGAAGCCAAGTTTCTAGGGCTGTCTTCCTCAAAGCCCTCAGAGCTCTGGGAGAAGCAGAAATCTGGCTTTCTCCAGTCCTTGGAGTAGCATAAATGGTGATTAATGGGCAGATCTCAGCATGGCTTCCTAGTCTTCCCCAGAATGCTAGGATCTGCTGTGGTTGCAGGGCCTCTGGAGTCAGCTTTGAGAACATTGGTGTAGCGCCATCTTCTCATTGCAATGACAAAGTCAGACAAGGCCCCAGGAACCAGTGAGCGATCAGCTGACTCGGGCAGAACCCAAAAGCCCTGGCTTCCAGCGACTTTGCCTTCGACATCCTAAGGAAACCCCTTTGTGGCCTTCATGGCCAGCATTTTCTTGGTGCTGGCCAGTACCTGGAAAGACTTCTGCAGGTTTATGTTATTGATTGGGAGGAGGACTGCGCTCGTCAGTCTCTGGTTACCTGCTCTAAATGAGGGGAAGCCCAACACAGCCTTGCAATTGCTCATGGTTAGATTCAGCTTTATACTTTTAAACCTATGTTCAGCTTTATTAATGGGAGCTTCCCAATCTATACAACAAGTTTTTATATTTTCTTGGCTCACGGCTTCCACAGAGAGTGGTTCTCATTGTTGGCTTAATGTTTTTAGAACAACCTATAACCAATATATTTGTAAGTGCAGGAGGATTTTATTTACCTTTAAGCATTCTGGTCATGGTTTTGCTCTTTTTTTGTGTTGTTGTTTTTTTTCTGAATCTACTCAGCCATATTTTCTCTATGCTTTCCTTTATAGAATTATTCACAGCTCTTCAAAGATGGTACTGCAGCTACCTCTGTGATGCTCAGGGTGCCTTCTTGGGCCATTTGTCAGAGGACCTCACACTGTGTGGTGAAGGGACAACACTAGTGTTTAGTCAAAGATGCATACAGACACCAACTTAAGAGGGGTGTGACCTGACCAGAAATGGTATTTTCTTCTATTTACAATCTAAATGCTATTTCTGTTCCTTACTGAACACTCACGAAAGATGTTGTCCTAAGGTTCGTGGCAGAAACATTTTTTAAAATGCTGATTGCTACTTGTTCTTGGGGTTGAAAACTGTGACCTATGTGTAGGATTCTTTTCTGAGAATAACATAGCCTCCGAGGCTATAACATCTAATCAGCGAGTAAAGTTTGTGAAGCAAGCAAGCTCCTGTGCTTGGTAATAAAATTCAGACGCAGCTTACACAAGGGCCTCCATCTGCCCAGAGGTGCTTAAAACCTTGATATATTCAGAAGTAGACGTATAAGCACTTTTAATAATGTGATTATTGAGATGGAAGAAAAAGAGGGTTTTGTTTTGTTTACTTAATGATCAATTGAATCAGTTGGACTTGAGAAAAGTTTTGAGTTTCACCAATGAAACTAGAATCTATATAAAAGAATACATTCACCAGTAAAATATCTCAAAGTAAAAGACTTTCATCTATTTGGGGCAGATTCTCAGAGATTTGATCTTGTCATTCCTTCTAATTAACTGATAAAATTAAAATTTACTAACTGACACTTTGGCCTTAAACATGGACCCAGTCCTAGATGGGTGATCCTTCATAGCCCATCACTGTAAGGTTTTTGTAATCTAGATCATTTCTTTATTTCAAAAGAAGATAATTTAGTTTCTATTGTCAAGTATTTAATTATCAGTTTTTGGACAGTCAGCAGTTTAAATTTCCCTTTACAGAGAAACTATTTTTTGTAGATTGCTGCTAATCAGTGACTCCCATGCTGTGAAGGTGTTCAGATGGTCTCTATAAAGTCACAATGGAAATGAACATGCAGGCACTCTACTTTCAGAGCTATGACTCTCACTTAGGAGGCTCCACTCACAAGCAGCAGCACCATTCCTGTGTGTGCTTCTGAATCGATGCTTCCATGCCTTTGTTCTCTGCTATTAAAGCCAGCTAAGATGTACCCGGGCTCTGTCTCCTGCCCTAACTGTGCTGTGAACACTCGGGGGACTTTCTGATGCCACAATTCTGTATTTAGTCTCTCTTCTACTATAATTACTCATCTTTTACCATCTGCCTAGTCACTCTGTGCTGTGTGTAGGGTTGAACTTCTGTGAAATCTGTAGAAAGTCTCTCTGACAGCATCTACCACTGCATGCTCCTCCAAACAGCAGAAGTGCTGTAGAGTGTAGCTTTTCCCTAGCCTGCCGCTTTGGTCCCGCCCCCCCCTGCCAGTCGCCTGGACTCTGCCACAGTTGCAGTCTCCAAATAACACACAAGACACTGTATTAATTATGAAGCTCTTGGCCGTTTGCTCTGTTTCTTACTAGCTAGCTCTGATTTAAGTATTTAACCCATAATTGTTAACTAAGTATTTCTCTTACCAGAGAAAAGGGTCCGGATCTTTTACTCCTATGGCAGCTACATGATGTTTGCCTGTGTCTCTCTTTCTCAGAATCCTCCTCAACTCCTAGTCCTACCTATCTTGCTTCCCTATTGGCCAACAGTTCTTTATTGACATATACACAGGACTTCCCCATCAAAGTGCCACGCTAATGGTTCCACATGCACAAAGTTCTGCTTCTCAACTCTGCATCTTTGAGGGATGTGAAGTCTCTTCCTTTCTTCTTCCTGCTCCCCAACTATGAACTCACAGTCATTGTACAAGATTCAATTCCAGAGAGTCATTCCCAAGATGTCTCCCATTTCCCTGGGCCTGGGAAAGGTCCCCTTGTGTAGTGTCTTCAGAACAGTTCCCATCAATTGTCTTCACAACCTGACCTCAGACCCCCTGCAGCACCTAGCTGTCTCCCCAGTGTGATTCTAGAACACTCACTAATATACCCATGTTCATTCGGGGAAAGCCTCCTCTGTCCATCTTCAGTGATGCCGGCCTTTGTTAAGTCAGCTGTATAGAGCCTCACTTTTGACTCAGTGACCACTATAAAGTCACAAACTACTTATATGCTCAAGAGGCCTGATACTCCATAAAACTCATCACAGCTCAAAGATATCCACTAATCCTTGTGATTTCAAAACAAAACAAAACACCAAAGGCCACATTCACTACTACCTTAACTTTCCATGCCCGACCAGAGTCATGAGTAACTTACTGGTGGATATACATTTTTCAGAAGGTGATGTTGGGCCATTTCACCATGAAAATGTTATGGAGTGTACCTGGATGGTGTAGCTCAGTTATGGCTGTACCTGTTTGATGCAATCAAGAGATACAATAAACAGAAATGGATGAGGCTGCTGCCCACATAATACAGCATGCTATCTTACAGTTAAGTTCCTGCATAATTAAATGGAGTACATTCTAAAATAATGCAAAGTATAGTACAGTAAGTGCATTAATCAGTGGCACAGTCAATTTTTATCATTATAAAGTATCATATTTTATGTGTAAGTGCTATGCTGTGTTATGATTGGTATGTTTTCTATCACCAACACAAAATATAAATACTATATGATGCTATGGCAACTACAACATAACCAAGCAATAGAAATGCATCAACTCCATTGTAGTGTTACATGACCATGACTCCATATGCAGTCCATCATTAACTGAAACATCATTATAAAACACATGACTGTAATCTCAAACAAAGTGACGAAGCCCCTGCCCAGTCCTCTACACCATTTCCAGGCTTTCAGTGTCTAAGAGATGCCAGAGGCCTTTTCATCCTAGATGTCCAAAGGAAAGCTATGTCTTCATCCCTACCTGCCATCATTTCTGAGATCTCCAACCTGCAGTATTCTCAACTATGGTCACAAAGCTCATTCAGGGCCATGGTAGCCTTGCAGGTTATCTACCTATACAGTTGCATTTATTGACTCTAATTCACCTGATTAATTAACACTCAGGGACTCAGAAGTTTCTGGACTTTCACCCAGCACCTAAAGCTTAGGTTGATTGATGTAATGTGAAATGAGAATTTAAAGCGTTTTTAAAAGGAAAATGTTAATACGTTTATTTCTAAAGATGTTTACTCTTTTCTGCAAAGATTGAAGGATCTATTTTAGCTCACAGTTTGGGGGTACAGTCCATTGTGGTGGAAATGGCATGGCATCAGGAACATGAGACAACTAGTCACGTTGAGTTTGCAGTCAAGAAACAGGAAGATGCAAGTTGGTACTCAACTAGCTGTCTCCTTTGATCTTTTTATTCAGTCTAGGACTCTAGCCCATGGATGAATGACACCACCCACATTCAGAATCCCTCCTTGGTCAAACCTTTTTGAAAACATCCTCACAGAAACTCCCAGAAGTGTATCTCCATGGTGATTGTAAATCCATTAAACTCAACAATGAAGTGTCACAAAGGGGGCCTTTAAAAACTGCTACATATGAGAGCAGACTGTGTGTCACTGCAGTTTACCACTCAGTTTACCACCCTCTCATCCTGAGTTATTTTGCAATAAATCCTGAGCATTGTTTCATTTCCTTATGATGGTTTTGATATGACTCTGCCAGTAAAAGGAAGTGCACGTTGGATAGTATAACCAAGGAAAGTGTCTCTAAAGGAGTGTTCAGGAAAAATGATATGTGTGAATGGCAAGGAGAGTTACCAAAGTTTAAAATTGTTGGATAGTTTAGAATATGGAAAATGGCCAATCAAATACCTTGGATGTTGTGATGGTGTGAAGGTACTCAATTGTAAAACATTGGTATGCCTATAAGAAATAAAATGGATAAAAATATTATATTAAGGTTTATAATGGTCTTACTACTCAATGCCAGGAACACTTCCAATATGTTTTATGAATTGGTTCATATAAATGACTAATTTTTATTGTTTTATTTCATGGCTTTGCATGTATGTGGTCCTAAGGTTTGAATCCATGACCCCATACATGCCAAGTACATACTCTACCATTGGACTGCACCATCATCCTAGAGGCATGTGTCTTTTTACAATTTTAGGAAGTCATAATTTATCCCCATTTTACTAAAATTGGAGAAACTGAGAAACAGAAGAGACCTACGAGCAGCTTCAGAATCTAGTTCCAGAATCCATACTCCCAATCATTGCACTGCTTCCCCTTTAAGCTACAATGGCCTTTTAATTGCCAGTAACATTTCTGTTCAACTCTGAACAGGTCCAGGTGCACAGATCACAGCAGTTCAGGTGTCTTGGAATCCACCCCATCTTCTCTCACTGCTTCCAACTATAGACTGCCACCCCTCCGAGACTGGAGGTCAATCACTGGATAGTTTTTTCTTCACTTCCTTTACAGCCAGATTTCTTTGCCTGTTTACATATAAGCCCCATGAGATAGGGAACATGTCAGTCTGTCATTCATTACCATACAGAGACTTAACCATGCTGGGTACTGAGTAAGTGCTTGCTGGCTAAAGAAATTAATAAGTGAAAGACTGTGTGTGATATCTGTAACTACAGCATGCACATCAATGTCTAAAAGGACAACTGTTGATTCATTTATAGTTCTGTCATACAATGTATTTGGCTATTATCCCTACACCGAGTAATTCTCCAATTCTCTGTAAATGCCAACAGTAATTCCTACTGCTTAAGTTGATTCTGAGGTTAATTATCTAAAGTTAGTGCAGGCCTCACAAATAAAAGGCATAACCTCACCAGATCAACACACACACACACACACACACACACACACACACACACACACACACACACACCACATGAATATTCACATGTCAACTGCAAGCATTGGGTCCCCAGGCAGTTCTGGCTTCTCTTTCTTTTGGCTACAACTCAGATTCCCATCAGTATCATAGATACCACGGTTCTGTGGTGTTATAACTCACAGAACACAGGGAAATATGTTTACTGGTTATGAAGAGTATTAGAAAGGATGCAAATGAACAACTAGATTAGTGGTTCTCAGCCTGTCCCATATCAGCTCTCCTGCATATTAGATATTTACATTATGATTCATAACAGCAGAAACATTACAGTAATGAAGTAGCAACAAAATAATATTGTGATTGGGGTCACCACAACATGAGGAACTGTATTAAAGGGTCGAAGCATTAGGAAAACTGAGAACAACTGAAGTAGATGAAAAGACTCACAGGCAAGATCCAGAGGGTCCTGAGTGCAAGAGTTTCTGTGTCTATGTGGTTTGGGCATGTCACCCTCCCCTTCAGTCTATGAACTTTCCAGAACTCACTGTATGTATGACTAAAGCTCTTTTCAATCCCTGGAAAGAAGTGGTGACCTGAAATTTCTAAGTCTCTTTTAGCATATCTCAATGGATCTTCCGGTAACTAGCCTCCAACCTTCAGAGCCAAAATTCATAAGCATAAGCTCAGGTGAGGTATGAAGGGGACTTATAAGGAATATTCAGCTGCTTTCATAACACTCAGAAATTCCAAAGATTTAAGAACTCCAGAATAATGAAAGGGGTGAGAACCAACTGTACATTTGTTATCATGTCACAAAATTTGGAATTCCAAATTTTCATGAGCTGTTCCCACCCCTCTGCTTCAACAACTCTCACATTCTAAGGGCTTTCTTAGACTACAAAATGCATTTTGCCTCATGAGACAAGGGTCAACCACACCTAGGGTTCCAGACCTCAGTTACTCACAGGATGCTTTAAGTGATGACTGTCAGGTGTGAAAGATGAAGTCCCAGCATCCTCATATTGGGGTAGAACATGTCTGAGGCCGGCTCACACTCCAGAACCCCACAGAATCAAGCTTCTCTTCTTCCTGGCATGTTGCTAGGGAATCAACAAATGCATTAGGTTAGTTTCTAAAATTCCTGTTTAACAGTATGACTGTGTACTAGAAAATAATGTTACCATGCTTGTCAGTTTATCATTAAAATAAAATTAATTCCAGATATATGTAGAAATTGATGAGGCTTCATGTTGATGAACCAAAGCATTTTATGATATTAAAGTGCTTCAGATCATCTCAACCCCAAAGGTCCTTGAAAACCTTTGTTTGCTTGGCAGATATTGAACAGACAGCATTTAACACAGAGCCATCTCTGCAGTATAGCAGGAAGTGGGAGAGCCAAGGATCAGCTCAGTATGAAAACTGTTTTCCAGCTGTTCTAAGTGTCTCACACAGCAATAAGCACAGACCAGGGAGAAAGCCTCCCAGCATAAAGCACATGGAAAGCAGCTCATTAAAAGGAAGAGAGTTTCCCATGTGAGTGGCTACTGGAATTCCCTTAACCACCTTCAGAATTGAGGAGCAAAAGTGTGGGTTTGGTCAGAGTCCCAAAGGCACAAGAGACATGCTACTTTCTCACATATAGGTAGAAGGAAAAGCAAAGTCTCAATTATGTAAATGAGCTAAAACCTGCAATATTTTCCTGGCTGTTTCTAAACAGCCAATGAAAGTCATGTGGACCTTAAATGAGGGGTCAGTTGTGATAAATACATTTCTTGTATCCTTATTTCAAATGACTCTAAACTGGAAAGTTAGTGGCAAAAAGAACTGTTCCTAAACCCACATGCTGTAAAATCCACATGACTTGTAAGGAGAATGATAGACTATGGGCAATTATGCACCAGGAAGGCTTTGACCCTATGAATCCAGAAAGTCCCCTTGGGATATAGATAAAAATATCAGATACCATGACACAGCTAAACTGCATCATTGTAGTGTCCTATTTATGTAAATGACTTTTACTATTATAATTTAATCAGTATGGTTTCTTTAAAAATGTTATGACTGCTTATATCTAAGTTCAAGGAAATGAATCTTTTGCCAAGATGCAGGATAGCAGTCTCTCATAAAAACAGAGAAAAGTGTTGTTCTATCCTGTGGTGACATCTGTGAAGGATGTACATGATACTTCTGAAGGCTGCTTTTTGGAAGAGTTTATTAATTTTTCTATCATAATCTAATGTCCATAGACAGCAAAGAGAGGCACAATACATATAGACCAGAAAATATGGATTTTTTTCTTCTGAGATCAGCACCCAATAACCACACTGATATGTGAACACAGAACTAAATAATTGTAGGTAGAGACAAGGAAGATCAGGAATTCAAGGTGATCCTTGGTTACACAGAACATTTGAGGCCATCTGGGATTATATGAAACTAGAGAGAGAGAGAGAGAGAGAGAGAGAGAGAGACAGACAGACAGACAGACAGACAGACAGAGACAGACAGACAGAGAGTGACAGAGAGAGACAGAGAGAGATCATTGGAAACACCAAGGATTATTTTTCTCTAATCTTTTTATTGTATGCCTTCGCTATCTAATAAGCAACTGTAAGATAAACTACTTCACAATGTTTTGGCATGAACCAGGAATTAAGTTGCAAAGTGAAAGCTTTAAGGCCGTTTTTAAACTATTATAAACTAAGTCTGGGGATAATGCATGATAAAGAAAGTTATGTACTCTCTGACTTCTCTGTCACCTACCAATCTTGACTTCCAGAATCAAAGTGCTGCTCTCTTTACTGATGCACAGGTCCTATCTGACAGGAGAGATATGACACAAAGTGGTGGCAACTGTTTCAAATCCCTTTTTTGTTTTGTATACCGTCTAGTGATATACATCTAAAAAGATTTTTTGGAATACCTTTTTAAAATTATAGAACTCACCTCATCTAGTTACCATGTCAGTTGGCTAGTATTTTTCCTAAGCTTCCCTTTAAAAGTAACAGGGACAGACAGGGTAACATATGTCTAGAACCACAGCACTGGGGAGGCTAAGGCAGGATTATCTCAAGTGGAGGCCATACTGGTTTACAAAGGAAGACCCTGCTTCAAAAAAAAAAAAACTCAGGAAAATCTAAAGTAAAATGTATAGTGTCAGTGTGAGTTATGGTTGTATATCTAAAGCTCTTACCTGCATATTCTCACTTGATTCTCATCATACTCTTATGAGTGATATCATTTTCCCACCTATTTTATCCAGAAAAAAAGGGGGCTTGGGTTTCTTACATATACTGAGCTCATCTGCTTTTAAGGTCTGACTCTCTCCTGCCTGGACAGGGGAAAGGAGAGGTTTGGTGCCCTACTTTAGTGGTACGCAATTATATCTATAATTATTCTGCTAATGTAGTTCCTAAAGCCCTAGAAGGGGAAATGTTTTAGGAAATGGGTTTTTCAGTGAGTGAACTGTTAGACCTGTGTGGATCCCATAGCCAGGGCTTGATGTGCTCAGGATGTAAAGTGAAAAGTCTCATTTGATACAGATCCTTACTCTGAGCCCTCCTGTATTTATAACAGGAACACACTAGAATCAGCATGTCCTGAACTTATCTGTTGAAAACACACCATGTAATACAGTCGGACTTTTTCCAGACTGCCTCTTCCTGGTAGGTACATTGGCAATGAAAGATATGAAGGCATAAGCTTGGCAGCCACTTCAAAGTACCCAAATGGCCCTAGAACATCACTATGCTCATTATATGCATTTATTGTGCATGAGCTCACAGCTGTCCAAATCTACCCTGAGTCTCCAATCAAGAAGAAATGGTGATAGGAACACTGCTAATGTGACATGACTGTAGACAACACAGAGTGACATGGCCTGAGGTGATGGCCATTCCCCCCCACCCCACCCCACCCCGCCACTTATCTTAATGGCAGTGCATCCCTGCCCAGGAAGTCACAAACAGAAGACCCAAGAAGGATTTCTAAAGCCGTATACACCACGAACACTATCCAAGTCAATCTTACACTGACTTATACTACAAGGGCCACATTGGGTGTCAGTATTCTAGCTCTTGAGCATGGCCAGCCAGATTTCCCCCTAGAGCCAGACACCATTCACAAATACAAAGTAGGAGACTAGCTGGACAGGAATTAAGAAAGTCATCGAGGGGTATATAGCTAGAGGTATATAGCTCAGTGAGACAGAACTAGTCTAGAATATACAAGGCCCTGGGTTGGCTCTGCAGAATAGAACAACAGCAACAACAACAACAAAAATCATTCAAGTAGTCATTTTCTCATTGAAGATGGGAAGACAATGCATGAAAGCACCAGTACCCACATGTGTTCACACACAGAGACATACACAAATGTCATTAAGGGCAGTGAAGTCATGGGACCAGGATACAGAGGAAATAAACAATGTCAGTAAACAAACATACTTTTGTGGTGGTTGAACAATCTCCTACCACACCCATTACCCATTGCTAATCCTTAAACACAAAGATTCAGAAGTCTTTTTAAGGAATTGTTTTATTTTATGTTCAAAATGAGTTCTTTGTGAAGTATCAGATTTTGCAACAAATACAAAGGACTCGGATCCAGGTGTTGGTGTGTGCATGCCTTTAATCCCAGCATTCGGGAGGCAGAGGCAGGCAGATCTCTGTGAGTTCGAGGCCAGCCTGGTCTACAAAGCGAGTTCCAGGACAGCCTCCAAAACAATACAGAGAAACCCTGTCTCAAAAAACCGAAAAACAGACAAACAAAAAAGAAAAAAACAAATGACTATTGGTGAACAATACACAGGTGTCTTAGACACAGGGAGTTCTCAATTTCCATTTTTGTGCCATACCCAGAGAGCCAGTCCATCATTCCCTAGATGATATCTTGGTTGACCTAGAAGATATCAAAGAAGTATTTTACACTTACGAAAACTGCATTTTTCATTAAATAGGAATAACTGCTTATCTTCCAAAGATAGAATATTCATGTACAAACTTAAAATTTTTCCCACAATTGTATACAAAATTGTCTTTTCAAAATTAAGACCAAACTTCACATAAATTAATCATTCTTTGGGGATTAAGAAGTATATTTTATGATTCCAGGAATTTTGTTATAATTTCAGCTTCATGCATTAAAAACAGTGCACGCACAGCCTTCTCCAAGGAACTCAGAATGGATGGACAGTGTGTGCTGTCCATACTGGAAGCAAGAGCTACTGTTCTCCAAGAACACAATATGGACCATCTGTTGTGGGTGTTCAAACTACAGCAAGGAGCATTTCCTCTTAACACACCCCACTCTCCAGCTATAGTCACTATAAAGACATACTCAAAATATCAAGATCAAGGCTACCATCAATGTTAAATCCCATAGTAGTAATCTAGGCTAGAGCAGGGTTTCCTACTAGGCCAAAGAACAAATATTTTTTCTTAAGAGAGAGAAAAAACACATAAAGTAAGGAGTTGAAAGTGGATTTTTCTTTATAAAACAATGTGCTGGGTCTATGAGATTTGGTTCTAAGTAAATGAAGAAGCAGATAAAGATATGTGTTAATAAAAGTTATTAAATTCCCTTTTTCATTTCCTCTGCTTGTTATTTCCTTCCTCAACAGATGATGCAAAACTCTGGGCAAATTTCCAAAATAATTAAGTCATGGAATATCTTTTCAGAGAACAAGAAAGAAGAAAATGGAAAAACAGAGAGTAGAGAAGAAGAAAGGGTGTTTAAAAACAGAAAGGAAGTTTAAAAATAACAATAATAAAAAAGGAGCTCTGGGAGAGTCAAGACTTGAACTAAGTATGACTTCAATTCTTTTCCACCAGGTCTTAGCCTTGGCAGGACTCTGCTAAAATGCAGGCATTTCATGGATGTGGAAACCGGTGATGGAAAATGCATTATTTTACACAATTGTTGTACTTGAGAGAAACTATACGGAAAAAAAAATAACACCCTAGAATAAATACAAATGAAATTCATGTATCAAAACCAATACTGTGAAAATAGTTTAAATGTTTCTTGAATTTATATCTAGTCATTAACCTAAATGCAGATTTTAGTTCATGCCACCCTTCTGCCTCATGGTCAGAAGGCCTGAAAACCTGTGGGGTGGAAAATTGGCAGGATAAAGAATATTGAATTGGTCTCCATGGAAAAACAGAATTTGGCAGCCATAACCTCCTCCCTGTGCTGGTCTCTCTCTCACTTCTGTTTATTCTTTCCTGCTAAACCTTTGTCCCAGGAAAGTAGTCACACATTAGGTAAAGCAGGAAGCAAATGTCAGTCTGACCATTTACCAGTAACTTTGAATCTCTCCTCAATATAAGGCCCAAGTGTCCAGGCTCTCTGAAGTCGATGAAGCTGGACCTCTGATGATTTTGGTTGCTCCTAACCTCAGAAAGGAAACTGAGGTGGAAAACTTGCCTCACCCAAATGGACCTGAAGAAACTGAGATTCCTACATGGGAATGATAAACCCATACACAATGCCATGGACATCCATTTCCTCTGCCTGTCCTGCTTCACTCTCATGATGATTTCAAGGAAGGCTGACACTTCTTTGGAATTTTATTTTGTGATCTCTCCCAGATTCAGGTCAAATGTCTCGTAGGTTGACCCTCAAGGCTCCACAGAGTAGTTAGCATTAGTGTACAAAGTCCAGCCCCCACCTTGTCCCTGGCCTCCTGTGATCAATCAAGGAATCACTTACTGGGACCTTATAGTGGATTCGGGGCTCTTTGCATGAGCAAGCTGGGGGGAGTGTTGTGTTGTTGTGTGGTTACTCTGTCTCATGGTGGTTTTCACCCTGATCTTTTCTTTCTTTGCAGCTGGTTAATAATCCTCTAGCAAGTCAGGCCGCCGCTGCTGCAGCAGCCATGGGCTCCATAGCAAGCTCACAGGCCTTTGGCAATGCCCTCTCCAGCCTTCAGGGGGTCACAGGTCAACTAGTTACTAATGCACAAGGACAGGTGAGTGGGGGATGGAAGCCAAGAGTGAATTTTTATGGCAGATTGAACTTGGAAAAGAAATGAATTTCTTTTGCATGACAGTGATATGTAGCTGCATCTATTTGAGGCAAATAAATAATGTTTACTAGCAATGTCAAGAATAGGAGAAGGATTGGGAAGTGTTTCTATATTTTAGAAGCAAGATTTTTCTTTCTTCCCCCTAAAATGTCAAGGTTTTATTTTGGTTTTGTTTTGTGAGATGACTAGTGTTATGACCTGAGTTAAAGAATTTCTCTCTCTCTATTGCAGTGTTCTTGGAAATAAGCAATCAAGATTTGAATTTTGGAAAGAAAATATTGCTTTGCTTTGTTTTTTCTCACTTTTAAAAAATCTGATGTAATGAAGGACTAGTATCTTTTGCTGGTTACTCTGATACATCTAAACTAACCTCAGTAAATCCAAGATCTGTATGTATGGGGAGTTAATGCAAAGTCCTATTCAAGCCACAAAAGGAAAGGGGACATTAGGTGTCAGCTGGCATTCAGTCCCTGGCCCTCTCACTGATTTTTGGGGACTCTGAAAGTTTCTTGCACGCCTGTTGATTTTTTCTACCCTATCAGGTCCACTGAGCCCTCCCCATATCACAGGAGAGCACCCATTCTCCAACTAGGTTTGTGTGTCCATGTCATGCACATGGATATGACATGTGATCAGTAAACCTAAAAGCTTCAGAAAACAGCAGAGCAGAATGGAAACAGATGATGTCAGGGTGACATCCAATGGAAAGCAGAGTCCAGCTTCAGGGGTTAGTAACTTCAGTTTTCCAGTGTGGCCATCTATGGTCACAGACAGAGCAATATTTCTTTACCAGGCAGTGTGCTTACATAACTCCCCGTTACAGCTGCTCTGAAAAACCAGGAATCAAAATGTATTAAACTCTGTTGGGTTTTTTTTATCTTACACAAAGCATAAGCAAAGATGCATTATATGCTAAACCATCTCTATCTACAGCCCAAGGAAAGAAAAAGCTGACCTTGTTATATTTCCTGGGCGGCTGTAGGATTGTCCCATCAGAGGCCCGAGGGCTGAACGATGAACTTGTCAAAGAGAGGACCCATGTAATGAATCATCTTATCACAGGTGCATACCACACATATTAAAGGAAGGTTGTCTGAACACTGTGTTCTCTGTAGTAACCTTTCCACGCCTGCTTTAACCTTTGTTCCAATTCCTTTTCATCAAAGGATCATTTTAAGCAGCCAGCTCTAAGTTGAGGCTCTCAAAAGCATATTAAGATTTCTGGAGGACTGTGGTAATGGGGTGGAGGAAAAGTTGGTTTTAATATCTATAACTCATACATACTTCAGGCCCATGCTGGAAGCAGCTTCCTAGAGCTATGCCCAGAAATAAAGCAACTCTCAAGATGTAAATTTTAACCATTGAAGGTGGAAACCAAATATATCTACAGATAGTCATTTCCTTCTAATTTTTCTGTTCCGCTTCTAAGTGAAATATACTATTATGCCCTCCACATGGAGAAATGTTTTTTTCTTACTTTTAGATACTTTGGTTGCTGATTAGCCAGTGGTAACTTCTTAGGAGCCAGAGTTCCCATCTTTGTCACCCTAATCCCTGGAATCTCTTTCCCAGCCCACAAGAATCCCAAGTTGAATACTCACCAGGGTGGTGTAGACATTGAATCAGAGTTGATTTTAGTGTCTTTTTTCATTATTATTTTATAAGTTGTTTAAGGATAGCTTATTTGTATTTATAGTAAACATATTTCCTAAGGTGAACATTTACTACCATAAAAGTGGATAAAAGTCATTGAAGTGTGTGTTTGTCTTGTGTTAATGTGATAAAAAAGATGAATATATGGAACCAGGTTAATAATATTTACCTTGTTTATCATACTCTGCCACCTAGGATTGCCACACTCAGTTTATTTTTAATTTTTTAAAGTCTTCATAGAAGTTTCCCAGACAGATGTAAAGAAAACACTCTGTGAATATTTAGAAACTCTTTCATTGGAGTTCTTGATGTCAATTCATTTTTTATATTTAGATGTTTATCCAAGAAAAAAGATATTACTGTGCAAACCTAGGTATGAGAAGCAAGATTTATTGATAGTAACATGGACAGATGGGAAGATTCTTTCCACACAGAAACCATCAAGTACGAGTATTGTCATCCAAATGTCTATCCTTGCCCTCACTCCCTAAGATTCTTTCTGCACCTGATAAACAAAAGACAGGATTTAAGAGACCTAAATGAGCCTTCAGGCCAACACAGGGATGGGTTTAAGTACCAATTCTCTCTGGTTTTCTGAGCTTCAGACAGAGGTTTCGCTTACCCAAGCCTATTCTTAACCCTCAAGGAGTCATCATCTATCACAGGCCACAATAATGGCTGCTAAATCAGCCTCTGTTCTATGCCTGAACCTCCTTCAGACTCTTGGCCTTTGCATCATAGCAGAAGAACCTCACCACCTGGGTCTTGCTGTTTCACTTGCCTGCCTTGGAATCTGTGTTTTCCAGAAACTAGATCCCTATAAAGGCAGAGATGAAACACGTAGATGTGTTGAAGAATGAGCTTTTCTGCCATTTTGCTCCCCACCGCCTTTAGTCATAACAAATACAGAGAAAATTCTCCTCCATCTTCATGCTTTTCTTACCTTGCCCTCTCATAACTATTAATTGAAAGGGCAGACAGTAGTCACCAGAGTTAACAATCTAACAGACACGACAAGACAAGAAGGCAATCAGTGTCCCCTGGTAACTAGTAGCCAGCCATTGACATTGGTTACAGCACTACTGAGAACATTATAGCTCTCTTTACTTCCTGGATCAGAGACCTGTGCAAGAAGAAAAAGAATAAGTAGTAGGGTGAGGGATTTAATTCCAAGTATAGTCTGAACAAATTCCTTGAGCCCTCTGAGCCTGTTTTCCTGACTACATAATAAAATCTGAGCAAACCCTATTTGGAAGATGGATCATCAGTAAATCACTGGCCATGCAAGAGGGAGGACCTGAGTTTACTCTCCAGGACCCACATAAATCTGGGCATGACATCACAACCTTGTAATCCCAACCCTGGAGAGGTAGAGACCTAAGGATCCCTGGCTTTTTTGCCAGCCAGCCTCACCTAATAGGTGACCCTTGGGTCCTAGTAAAATAGTTTGTCTCAAAAAGCAAGTAGACAGCTCCTGAATAATGACACCCAAGCTTGACCTCTAGCTTCTACACAGACAAACACACACACACACACACACACACACACACACACAATCTAAATCCACAGGTTATAACTAAAAATACCTCCTAGGAGCTTAAGGACACAACTAAGATTCAATGAACACTGCCACAGTTATCACCACCATGGTTCATGGTGGTGTTTAGATATGCAGAAGAGGTAGTAGTATGAGGTGCAAGCAGACAGAAGAGGATCTGCAGTCAGGCTGCCGTTCACTAGCCAAGAGGCCTTGGCTGATATCTTTATTCTCTTTGTGCCATGATTTCTCTTCTGAAAAAATGGGGGAATACTGACATTGTTCCACTGGATTAAAGTGCTCACAATGAGGTCAATGGCATAGTCAGATCTCAGAGCCAGCAGCCAGTCAATGCTAATCAAGATGAATGTGAATCAAATGAACATCTTCCTTCGGTGCATAGATGAAGGTTCCGAGGATGTGTGAATCTCAGGGATGTTAAGTCATCTTGAGGTATCTCAACCTTTCTCAGAACAGTGCACCGGAGGTTGGAGAGTGAGTGTGCCCATGTGTGCTCTTAATAGTGTTTTGAGGAATTGGCAAGTAGATTTACCATCAATTTGTTCAGCTACGAAACTGCATCCCTTGTGTCCTTGGCAATATCTTCTTATTGGCATTATTACAGAAAAGTAAAATCAAATGCAATTTTATTTTATCCTGGGGTTAAGGAAAGCATTTTACATTTTAACTGAAGCTCGTGACTGTTTCCTGATGAAATCAAGTCCTTCACCACTGTGAAGCTTTCCTAGGTGGCAGCAAGTGACCTCAGACACCCACCTTTGTACTTTAAAGGACCAAGCATATAAAGCACAAAAGTAACTAAGTAAAGCTACTTTTTTTAAAAACAGGGTTACCCCTACCCCCATCTAGCGAATAGAAAACCTAAGGTTTAATTGAAACACAAACATTCTTTTTTATTAACAGAGTGGCCTCGTATAGATTATATAACTTTTCTGGGGCTCTTTTCCAACAGTAAATGAGAAATGAGGCATTTAATAAATTATGGCATTCCTTTTAGGATCAAAACCCAGCAACTGACCCTATATAGGTTGCTGAAGTGAATATTAGCACATAATTTAAGTGTAAAGACAAGACTCTTTAAGATAAACTCACTGGAAGATGACTTGAGATGAAGTTATAATAAATGCTAATCTCAATCACAAAATTGAGAGATAATTAATTTGATAATTGTCTGTTGTTTCTCTTCTCTGGGGTCTCAGTAGGTCTGTTTAAATCACTTACAAAGCCATAGCTGCACATATCTGTAAAGCAGTTTTTCAGCCCTGCAGAAAAGGAAGAAATAATGTGTGGCTCTGTTTGTGAATAAAGCTATAGGGCCTACAAGACCCAGCTAAGCCACTGATGGGGAATCTGGGGAGCTCTACATCCTCTTTTATTCCATTTCTTACAATAAAGCACAAAAATGTATATCAAAATAACCTTTCCAAAACAACACACATGTTTTCATTTTCATACCAACATCAGACAAACAAAAAAACAAAAACAAAACAAACAAACAAAAAACCCACCCCTTCAAGGAAAAAGCATGCCACCCATTCCAAGGGTAGTCACTGACAGAAAACTGAAACTTTTCAAATTTTATGTTTTTACCACAAAATATTAATTTAAAAGACATAAAATGCATAAACACTATCTGTTTAAAAGTACAGAAACCAATAGAATCTATTTGGACATTTTATATTAAGATCAAATATGCCAGCACTCGGGAGGCAGAGGCAGGCGGATCTCTGTGAGTTCGAGGCTGGGCTGGACAGACAGCCTCCAAAACAATACAGAGAAACCCTGTCTCGTAAAAGAAAAAAAATGATCAAATATGTTTTGTTGAAAATTTGGAGTTTTTCTCATAAATATTCATGTTTTCTCATAAATAGTCTAGATCTGACAAAAATCTTTGTCTTCCATTTGCCCATGCCAATGAGTAACATTTTTAGGGTATAATAATTAAATCCCATTGAATAAACTGTATTTCAGCTATCATTTTTTTTTTTTTTTTTTTTGGTTTTTACGAGACAGGGTTTCTCTGTATTGTTTCGGAGGCTATCGGTCCAGCCCGGCCTCGAACTCACAGAGATCCGCCTGCCTCTGCCTCCCGAGTGCTGGGATTAAAGGCGTGTGCCACCACCGCCCAGCTTCAGCTATCATTTTTTAGTAAAACGTTTTTTTCATTCTTCTCTGTCTGGAGGTCAGGAAATGTATTTTCATGGGATTGGTAGCGTTCTATGAGTTGCGCCCTGGCTTCTTTTCGGTGATAAAGATAAAATAATCAGCCACCCCAATCCTTCTACTAACATAGCAAATCTGCCCTCAGAGCCCAGTTAAGAACTTTATTGCCTCATTTCAGCACTGTTTCCCTAAGTGCTCGCCTTATAGCCCCTCAAAATGCTCTACAAATGAGAACTCCGGCATCAGGGCAGCGATGCCCTGGACTGGTGCTGACCACCCAGTCTTTTGGTCTGAGCAGCAGCGACCTGTGAAGCTCACAGATACAAGTGGAGTCAGGACACCAGGCTGCAGTCTTAAACTTTCTTAACCCTTAATTCCCTGACCAACACTTAATAAAATGTACACGCTTTAGAAAAACGCTGCTGCCAGCAATTCTCACTTATTCCTAGCCACGTTTTAAAAATGCCTTCTGAAAGCAGAAATCTTTCAGGTGAGGAAGACACGGCTCTGCCACCAGAGCTTTGCTGTGACTTCTGGTCTATCATGATGCCTACTTATCCCATTTGTAGAAACAAGGTCTCAAACTGTTTCATTGGCAAATTAATTTTTGCCTGTCCCCAAGCTACCTTTCTTTGTACTTTATAACCTGCAAAGACAGGTCAGAGGTGGTGCTAGAGGGCCAGCTGACAAGAGTCTTGATGGTGTCCAAGTCCTTGCCCTTGAGAACTCTGATGAGAGGTACGTTTTGTAACCCTGGTGGGCAGTGACTCTGTGGGTACTGGGATCTAAGGAAGGTATGGCTACAGGTTGTACACCCTGAAACTCAGGAGTTGGGCTAAGTTTGGTTCTAGCTCTGTCCATCGACTACTCCTGAAAGCCACCCTCATGCCGCCCTTTCATCACCTCCGTGTCTGACATGGGACACTCAGCAGCCCCAGAGGCCCATCAACTTGAGGAACTTTAAAAAGACCTTATGGACACTTTCTTTTTAGCCTCCATCCCTAGCAGAACTCACCTCATGTAACAAATGGTGCGAGAGGAATCCACAGTAAAAACCACCTCTGCAGAATTCACCCTGAAGAGCTAGCTAAAGAGGACCATGTCTCTGCTACATAAAGCAGGTTGCTACACCCACTATTTCTTTTTTTTCTTTTTTTTTTCTTTTTTTGGTTTTTCGAGACAGGGTTTCTCTGTATTGTCTTGGAGCCTGTCCGCTGTTTCTTTTTTAGTTCTGGCTACTGCAGCCTTTTGAGTTTGTTGCTGTTTTTAGTTCTTCATCCCTAAGCCTTTGTCTTCATGGAACCAGGGAAGTGGTCTCTCCTGAAGAATCCTAGATAAAGACTTATACTGTTTTTTGAGGCCAGTTAGTTTCTGGAGCTTCCCAATTAGGATCTATAATTCTCGACAGCTAATAAGTTAGGGGATGCTATTTACAGCCCCCTAGGAGCTGATCAGGGCTACCCTGCTTAGCATTAAACATAAATAAATAAAAAGGGGTTGCTCCCTATTCAGCAGACTTCCATTTCAGTTAATGCACCCTTGTGGGAAAGTGCTGTCTATTCCCAAGGGATAATCATATGGCTTGTGTGAGTGTGCAGAGCTCTTTAAGCATGTTGGAGGACTGCTGGGTTTTAGCTCCTTCAGGCCAAGTGACATCTGAAAAAACAAACAAAAAGACAAATAGTGTCTGCTCTACAATGGGCTGAGCTCCCACCCACCCAAGGCCATCAATAATGCACACTGGGATGTCATGAAAGACTTTGATGGTCCCCACCTGTTCAGATGGGCAATTCTCTAGTTCAGAGGAATCAACTGTCTAGGGCAGCACCTTGGATCTGAACCCAGTGTCTACAGCCATGCTCCTGTAACACTCTGAGCTGGAAGGCCTGGTTGCTTTCCCAGATATCCATGAACAAACAAGTTAGAATCACAGAACCTAAATCTTTACAGCTGAAAAAATCGGAGAGGGAATGTATTTGTGTTGGCCGATAAGTTGGTTAGTACTCATAAAGTTGTCAGATGTCATCAACTTTACAAGGCCAGTAAGAAAGAAATGAATAGATTAGGAGAGGAGAATGGAAAAGTCACAACTCAGAGCAAGGAAGGGGGGCATGTTCAAGTTCAAACCCATAGACAAGTAAGCCTCTATTAATCCTATTAAACTCAATGCATTAGCTCCAAATTTCTACTTGTCTTATTATCTAGCCTTTGCTGTCTTGAATAAATAACAGAAAAAGTAACCCCTGATAAGATATCATAAGCTGGAATGGTCAGAATACTGTAATACAGTTAATGTTACAAGTACAGTTTACAAGTAAATGGCACTTAATATAATGCACAGATATACAAGAAGAAAACAGGGCACACTCCCTGGATCAGATACCTGCCAGTAGGTAGTGACAATAAGCCAGAGATCCACTGAAATAACATAGCTGGGCAATGAATGCCTGTGTCATCACATGGAAGGGCAGCCAGTGTAAAAGGTGTTCTTAACTGGTCTAGGTAATAAAAGCGGGTGCCAGATATAGAGGGAAATGCAGAGAAGGAACAAGCCACAGGACACCTTACCTCCTAACGTCTCTACATAGAAGAGAGTCATTTCCTGTTTCTCCCTGCTTATATCCGGTTTCTGCTCAACTATATCACTTCCTGTCTGTCTGTACAGACCTCCAGACCTCTATGGTTAGCTAGTGGCAAGCTCCATTCTCTGACCCCCAGACAGCTTAATTTGTACAAGAAAGATAACACCACAACCCAGTGTTAAAAAAACCAAGGCTCTCAAATCAGACAGGCAGGGACCTAAACTCTCACTCCATCCCAACATACCGTTGAAGGTCAGGCAAGGCATCTCATCTCCCTCGGGCTTGTTTCTCTTCTCTGAAATGACAAAACATCTTCCCTCAGAGTGTGAGAGGATCACAATTTGCAGCAATAATAAAATGAGTAAGCAACTGCCATGTATAGAGCACTAAGAACCAATTGGTACTTAGAGTCCTCAGCATGTCACAACCACTTCATCTCTCCAACCCCTGCAGGATGCATCCTATGGGGACTGTACAGATGGAGAGCTTCCAAGAGCAGCCCATGAGAAATGGCAGGAACCAAGCTCAGTTTTGTCTGATGTAAGAAAATACTCTCCGGCCAGGAGTTGGTGGTGGCGCATGCCTTTGCCTGTAATCCCAGCACTTGGGAGGCAGAGGCAGGCAGATCTCCGTGAGTTCAAGGACAGCCTGGTCTACAGAGAGAGTGCCAGGATAGACTCCAAAGCTACGAAGAAAAACCCTGTCTCAAAAAAAAAAAAAAGAAAGAAAGAAAATAGTCTCCATCACATGTTCTGATAACAATTCAAAGCTTCTTGCTCTCTTCTTAATGCATTCCAAGAGCCAAGAACAGCACCTGGTACACAGTAAACATGATATAGTAATGAAGTTCACCGCCCAGATAGTATTTCAGGTGTTCTCATATGCTCTTCAGTAAGCATTTTTCATAGGTTCAGCATTTCATTTCATGCTCACTGTGGTCTCATTATCCGGTTCACAGCTGATGGGTGGACTGGAGGCTTAGGAAGGTTATCCAGAGTCACACGGTGAATGAAAGAGCCTAGACAGATACTCACATCTGGATGCTTTAAAGGCCAGATTTTCTTTAAGCAGAGCTGCTATCAGCATAAGCTTTCTTACATGCCCAATACTGTGCCTGCTGTATAGGAGACATCCCACAGCACACCTAATCCCCTTCAGTCAACAGCTCTAAGGTAAGGCCCAATGAATATATTAAAGTTTCAGGTGAAAATGTTTTTAAACACTATCCAATATCCCTTTGTCAAATGAAAATGGAAGTTTTCAGTTACTTATCTTTCTTTAGCTTCTTTTAAAAAAATTACAGTTAGTGCAAAGTGTGAACACAGTAAAGGTTGTTAAGCACTTGGACCTCACAGGGTGAGTCATGTGAGTCTCAAGCATGCCCTGTACCACACATTTTCTTTGACCATCTCTGTTGTGAAACTATGTTCCCTCCAACATGCAGGAAAGGCTAGTGTGGCAATATGGAGTCTGCAACCTGCATGATTAGCAAATGGGAAATCCTATTTTCTCAAGATTAGCGCTAGCCCCAGGCTGGGTTATGTCTAGCCTGCACCCCTAACACCATATGGCTTCTGGACACAACAGCATTGGCCTTTCTTCCTGGCAAGATGTATTCAATTTAACCAAAAGGCAGGGCCAGAGGGAGTTATCAACCACTCAGGCTCTCCAAGCACTCTTGTTTTCCTCTAATGCCATAGATTAAAAAAATAAATAAAAATAAAAACTTTCTTCATTGTATCTTCAAGTAGTTTTTTTAGCCACCCTCCCTATACAAGCAGAAGCCAAGAGAAGTGATATATGTACTATATAAAGTCTGCTTTCGGTTAACAAGTAACTTGAGAAACTACAACTTATAAATGTAAGACTTTGAACCATGAGAAGCTTTTCAGTATCATTTGGCTGTGAAATAATTATTTTGGCTTTTTAATATAAAAGATGGCATCTTTGAGAGAAGGGAGGTTCATATTTAAAACATGATATAAACATCACTAAAGTAACACAAAAGTGATACAGTGTGTTACCGGGGAAAGCTCATTTTGATTTTGAGACCACAAGATCACATGGCACTGCATAGGATGAAATGGTTTTGTAAATTTAACACCTGTTCCCAGGATGAAGAACCCAGATGAGTCGTGGAGGACTGAGTAAATGTGTGTTTTTGAGAGACACTTAAAATAGAAATAGGAAAACACTGAAAAGTCACTGCTGAACTTGACATTTTTCAAAAACTGATTGATCATTGGGGATCTGGCTGGAGATAGGCCACTTACAATGGATTCCAAATTTATGAGAAAAACTCATCAGCATAATTCTAGGGAGTCTCAGGCTTTGTTGTGAGAAATGAGAAAGTCTGTGGTCTCACCCTAAAGAACATTAAGAAAACATTACTAACAGGAAATTGGAAAAGTAATAAGTGTTAGAATGAAAGAACAACTTTTTCTGATTGGACAGATAGATACACATAGCATGCAAGTATCAAAATACATTTAATTTTGCCACAACAATGGACATTTGCTTCACATGAAAACAACCAGATGAATCATCCTGGGCTTGTGGACTTGGGTGATGATAGACAGATGCATCTCTAACAGCACTTCTAGTGGCTTCACTCCCCACCCTTCCTTTTCCTAGGAGGTTTGTTTTGCTGCTTATCCTCATTTAAATTCAGCTTTACAGACTGATGCACTCACTGGGTATAAACACAGAACCAGGGGGTGCTAAATATGCATAGCACTTCCTTGAGCAATTGCCAAACATTCTCTTCACCTGTTCCCATTGAATAAGGATGTATTTCAATAAAGGGTGTATTAGGAATATTGGAGATCATTGTCATTTGTCCCCAATTTGTTTTTGTTTGTTAGTTTGGTTGATTGTGGGTGGGTTTTTTTGAGAAATGTTATTTTTTTGTTTGTTGCTATAGTTATTCCCCTTTTTGGATGAAATAGAAAATAGATGGCTCTTAGATGGAAGGCTTTGCTGTATCCTGGCTATGAGTCAACGTGTTCTTCGAAGCAATAAATAGCTTCAATCTGATTTAGTCACTTAATCTGGCAGCAACTAATAGAAACAGAAATGCTTTCCCGAATTCTAATTTTTTGTTGTTATTGGTTGATTTTTTTTGGCTGGTATTAAAACTTGTCTTGGAGAAAGACAGGTGAAGGCTGATGAGGTTGGTCCTTGTGCAAAGTGAGGGCTTCACCACAGTTACGGTGGTCTTTGAAAGGAAAACAGGGATTATGTTTGCAATTCTACAGTATGTCCAATACTGGAGAAAATGAAAACAATCCATAGTTTAATTTGTAAAGCAATGACAAGAAATCTTCCAGGTTATCATTAAGAATTTGCCATCATTTGGTTTATAGACAGTTCTACTACTGTCTAGTGGACAAGTGTAAAGAATATGTTAACACCACTGAAGAGAATCAGACATAGAAGTGTTAGTTCAATTTTATACATATTTCCGTATTCCAAAACTTAACTAATATTAGAATAAATAATCAAAGAAAATAATGTAGAGAGGTAGAAATTAAACTCTAGACTATACAGCTTAAGGGAATTCGGTTTCTTTCAGGAGGATTCACTTTTTCCCTTGTAATAAGTAACTATTGTGGTGATATCTTGCCTGTAGCCTGAAGGTCAGAGGATGCAGCTGGTCACTAGCTAACCATAGAGGTCTGAAGGTCTATACAGACAGACAGGAAGTGAGATGGCTGGGCAGAGAGGGGATATAAGCAGAAAAAAACGGGAACGCGCATTCTTTTCTGCTGGGGAACTAATGGGGTAAAAAGCGGCTTTGGTTTGCTCCTTCTCTCTGATCTCAGCATTTTCTTCTATATCTTACCCCAGGTTTTTATTATTTAGACCAATTAGAACTCGATTTACAAACTATGAATCAAATTGTACTTTAAAAAAATCTCAATTATCATTCTAGAAATAAGAAATGGGGGGTCCATTTTATAAGGACAGCAGTTCTAGTCATGTGGAGACTGCATCTTGACCTGCCTTCTTCCTGAAAACATCACCTCCAAATACACCCATGTTGACTAAGTGTCATTGTGACCTGTTGGGAACTGTGTAGATGCGCTACAGAAATGCCCCGCTGAACTTTGACAACAGGAGAGGTGATGTCTTGCAAAATCATCTCCCTCCTCTGCTGCCTTCCTTGTCCCACTTTCTAGAGGAATAATGTGAGTAAACCCAACACCATGAGGAAAAACATGAACCCTCTAAAATCCAGACTTCCCCAGTATGCTTTTCAGTGCAGGACAGGTGTACATCTGACACAGTTCTAAAGCTTGTACTGACTATGGACATCTATATTTTGTGCAGAAAGACTGCATTTCTTGGGTACTGGCTTATATCCAACATTCATTCTAGGAATAGACCCCAAAAGCCTATGATGATTCCTTGTTTCTGACTTGAATGTAACATCATTGGTGTAAGTTTAATTTAAATATTTGATTAGATGATAGATCGATTTTTTTCATCAGTGTTTCGTAGCCCTTGATTGTAGACCCGAAATAAAAGAAAAATATAGCAAATCTCTTAACCAAAGATATATAAGTAAATACAAATTTTGTGATGCATCTTAATTTTCTAATTAAAAACAAATCCCTGTCTGCTGAATGTGAAGTCCCCCACCAAACACACACACACACACACACACACACACACACACACACACACACACACACACAATGCTCTTGCCACAAGGGGTGCTCTAGCACAAGGTTAGACATGGCTCAGACCCATGCAACTGAGTCTAGATAAGTGCACGTCCTGGCCCCCTCCAGCAGCAGATGAGCAACCCCCAACAATGACATGGAGTATGCACAGTCTTTACTCCCTCCAACTATACTCTTTCTTTGTCTCTGTCTCCTCTCATTTCAAAATCTGTAGAAGCTATAGTCGATAAATCTAAAGAGCAAAAACTCAAGTACTTTAACCTTCAGGCAATGAGAAAACTCCCAGGTTACCCTGGTAGTGAGGAAAATACATAGAATTCCAGAGTTCTATGTGTCTAATTTCATTATGGAGTTCTATGTTCTGGAACTGTCTAACAGCTTTGCAGAGGCATCTTTCATGTATTCCTTTGAAACACATCTTTATAAAACAAGAAGCCTTTCATTATGTTTTGTGGTACACTACTGCTTTTAGTGGTGACCTATTGTCATGATGATATTATGATATTAAAAGAATTTGAGGACACGTGGTGGCACAATCTGTAATCACAACTCTTGGGAAACTGGGGCAGGGGCAGAAGGATTTTAAGTTCATGGCCACATAAGAACA